CAGTCAAGTGCCTTAGGCACTATACCACCAGAGCTCCTAGAATTACCATATGAGCTAGCAATTCCTCATGAAGAATTGAAAGTCAGGACTCAGACTGATACTTGTATACTGATGCTCATCCCAGTACTTTTCACAGTAGCCAAAAGCTGGAAACACCCTAAATATCCATCAATAGATGACTGTGTAAGTAAAATGTCTATACATACAATGGAATATTACTCAGCCATAAATATAAATGAAGTCCTGGTACATCCTACAACATGGATGAACCTTGAAAACACTGTGAACTTTTAGAACTATCAGTTCTAAAAGGATATATATTGTCTGATCCCAGTTATATGATATCCCACTTATATGGGGCACTGAATTTCTGTTAAGGGTGATGGAAAAATTTGGCAACAACAGTGGTAATGGTCACACAACATGATGAAGGTAATTAATATCATTGAATTGTACATGTACAAAATGTTTTGATATGCTTTGATATAATTGGCCAATGTATACTAGAAAAATCCCCATATCCAGTGTTATTGAGTTGATTCTGACTTACAGCAACCCTACAGGACAGAGCAGAGCTGCCCTATAGGGTTTCCAAGGCTATAAGTCTTCATGGAAACAGACTGCGTCATCGTTCTCCCACAGAGTGGCTGGTGGGTTTGAACCACTAACCCTTCTGTTAGCAGCCTAATACTTTAACCACAGCACCGTCAGAGCTCCTTTGCAAATGTACAGATACCAAAAGCTCTTAGTGGTTTCCAGGGGTATGAGGGAAGGTGAAGCGGGCACTGAGTTCCTGTTAAGAATGATGGGAAAATTTGGAAAAAACAGTGGTAATGGTTGCATAACATGATAAATGGCATTAATGGCACTGAACTGTATGTGTACAAAATGCTGAAATGGAAAATATTTTGATATTTTTTTCACCACACATACACAGTACATACATATGTATACATATACATATATTATGTGCACACACACATATATGTATACAGATGCATACACACACATATATATATACATACACATATACACACACACACACACACACTCTACACGCACACATAAAATGGACCTTATACTTTGGGCAGTTACTCTAGATGACAGCCAACAGACACCATCCCCATGCCCTCTCCCTCAAACAAAACAAGATGAAGCGTTTCCAGAAGCCCCAGTGGAACTGAGGAGGTGCCTTTCTGGCTCCAGGTGAGCTGTCACGCTCTCCACACCTGGGTGGGGCAGCCATGCAGCCTCACAGGTGGCACCAGCACCAACCTCCTCTCCTTTCCCCCACAAGCACCTTCTTCCCAGGGCCTCAGTCCCTGCTCAGGCTGGGTCTGGCAGGCTTCTTGGAAAGGAAATGTGTATTTACTCTTTCCATACGGTGGGACTGTGAGCAGTGACACTCGATTTACCCTAGTTACAATGTAAATGGCGCTAATATTATTGTCATGGGGAAAAAAAAGAATTCTGTTTGAGGCAGCAGATAATTGGCTTCATGGTGAGAGGGATTTTTTTTTTTATTTACTTGGAATGAATTGGAAAAGACCCAGAAAACAGACAAGGAGGCACAAGGACTTTATAATCTGCAAACACTCTCTTTAAATTGGTAGATAGCTATTTTTACTAAAGTCTCACCTGGCAAACATTCAGTCTTGAAAAAAAAAAAACAACAACAAAACAACAACAACAACAAAACCCCAATGTCATAGCCTTAATTTAAAATAGTTGAATTCATAGTCTGAGATGGATTATTAGTATTTGAAAAATATTAAAATAGTTTAAAAATTAATAAATAGTCTGAGACTAATTTATAATCAAATCAGTACTCAGTTGTTACAAATCGAGAAAGTTGTGATGTAGCTGAGACAATGCTGTATTTTTCTAAAAGAAATAAACCTACCTGATTGTCTTGTAAAATTAAAGAAGTTTAGTGTTAAGGATTGGATCCTGTCTCCCTGAATATGTACTGAAATCCTAGTTCCTGTAGGGCTTTTCTTTTGTTATGTCGATAAGGTCACACTAGTGGAGGGTGGATCCTAAACTTAATTGCTTCTAAGTTATAACAAAAGCAACATAGACATAGGCACACATGACAAAGACAGATACCAAGGGGTGCCAAGGGTTGCCAATGGATGCCAAGTCATGAAGGGTTGCCTGCAGCTACTGGAGGCTGCAACAGAGAATGACCAGCCCCTAGAGCCATGCCATAACTCAGATTCCCAGCCGCCTGCACTGTAAGAAAACAAATTTCTGGTCTTTAAAGCCACTGATCTATGGTGCTTATTGTTACGGCAGCACTAGGTAACCGCAACATTTAGTAAAGTCATATATTGGGCCTCACCTGGGCCACTTGCTAAAAGAGCAAAAAGTAGAACTAACATTTTGTTACAGTGCATTTGTTAGACAAAGAAAATCTTATATGGCTGACATAATTTCGTTTCTGAGGATTCTGATTATGCTATGTAGCAGGTAAAATGGACCAAACCAAATCCATTGCTGTGGAGTCGATTCTGACTCACAGTGCCCCTAGAGGACAGAATAGAACTGCTTCATTGGGTTTCCTAGGCTGTCAGTCTTTACAGAAGCAAAGCCCAAATCACACCCACTGCCGTGTGGAGTTGATTCTGACTCACAGCGCCCCTAGAGGACAGAGTAGTACTGCCCTGTCAGGTTTCCAAGGCTGTCATCTTTATGGAAGCTGACTGCCTCATCTTTCTCCCATGGAGCAGCTGGTGGGTTCAAACCGTTGACCTTTTGCTTAGCAGCTGAGCCCTTAACCACTATGCCATGAGGGCTCCTTAGATAAAAATGGAAGTAGTGGTAAATCAATGTATTTAATAAATTAGAACTATTCCATTGTTACCAACAGCTACGAACTTAGTTAACAGAAGAAGAAAAAATAAAATATGAGATATAAAATCCTCTCTCTCTGCATTTGGCATCACTGGTTGTCAAGCTAATACCAAAATGATGACTTTTTCAAAAGACATCCTTAACTGTCAGGCAGGAACAACTCTCATTGAATGTGGGGGGAAAGGAGAAAGGCAAATGAAATCTGATGTCTTTCTCTGGCAGGGTTGGATTAAAGTCTCAATACTCTACCTTAGGGCCCTAAAATAATTATGTGTTACCTAAAGGATAGCCAAACTACGAGGCTCAATTGTCAGGGAAGTTGGCAACTATTTGTAACAGAAATTGGGTCCCCCTCCCAAACAAAAATCAATATTATCTCATTTGGAGTCAGTCATCTTTTGCTCATGGGTTAAATGGAAATTTACATTATTTTGCAACTGAGTCGCTTCCTTTAGTGCATGAGAGATTCCAGAAACAATGTATTTGGAAACATACCAGCAAAAATGGAGTGTGAATTATTTCCTAATGAATTTACAATATAATTTCATCATTGTGATTCCTTTTCCCATAGACCTGTACAACTGACACTCCAGAATTCTATTGGAAAAGTTCCGACTGTGAATTATTTGGAAACATCAAGACTACGCCTGTCTCATAATTTGCAATGCCTTTTACGTACACAATTCTACTCTAAGCATGGATGTAAAGCCAGGCCGCATCACGTTTTTGAGATAAGTACAGATGAATGCTGAGTGGTACTTTCTAAATCTGACAGAACAGGTCTGCACGTGGACACACAGCCTTTTCATCAAAGACAAGGCAACGTTCCTGTTGACCTTCCCACCATCTCGCTGAAGACTCGTTCTTGTCTAGATTCTCATCTGGAGATGAAGCGCAGTTTGAAAAGAAAAACAGCATCCTTCATCGCCAGTGGCAGGAGACCGGCTTCTTTACAATCCCATAGCATTTAACTTCCTGTAGCAGGGCTCAGTTTCAAGCAAAAGATGACTGCAGGGCAAATGAGCAAGACCTAGGATACCATGTCATTTTGCAACTTACGCTCTCCAGGCGATATCTTCGATCAAACACGCGGTAGGAACCAGAAATAATCCCAGCCAGAAGTGGGCAGAGCTCAGGACCATGGTGGCCTGCAAAAAACAGAAGTGGCACGTGTCTTGATATTAATATCTTTTCTTTCAAAAAGAGTGACAACGTGATTTAACTAACATAAAGCACACCACAGCTCAAAAGCAACCAGAAGCATTTTTCTTGATTGCCTTTATTGTCTGTACCTCTTATACACCCTCTCCATGTCTTCCTTTTCCTTAGTGGTATTGTCCTAGTCACATACTTTTGTTTACTGCCTTTTCCCTTCACCCATATCAAACCTGTCTCTTAATTATCCATCTATTTCCCGTCACTGCCTCTACCCTCCCATCTCTGGTAACTAACAAAGTTTCCTTCCCTGTGTGAATCATTCCTTGACTTTTTACAATGATGGACTCATACAATATTTGCCCTTCTGTGGTTGAGTAATTCATGCAGTATAATATCCTCCAAGTTCACCCGCGTTATGAGTTGATTTGCTGAGTTTTCATTATTCTTTAGTGTTGCATAGTATTCCACTGTGCGTATGTACCATAGTTTGGTTACCCATTCATCGGTTGATGGGCACTTAAGTTGTTTCCATCTAATTGCTATTGTAAATAGTGCTATGATGAACATGGGTGTGTATATCTGTGTCCTGGATCTCACCTCTTTAGGAGCATTAAGTTTAAGAAATAGTAAAGCAGGAGACTTGTGATAAGATGGCAGAATAGGCAGACAAGCTTCACAGACCCTCTTCAACAAAGAAAAGAGAAACCAATTGACAGACATACAGAAGATAATCCTGGAGCCCTGACCTTTGAAAGGAAGAATACATAAGTGGATAGGAGCTCTGGTAGCATAGTGCCTAAAGCATTTGACTGCTAACCAGAAGGCTGGCCGTTCAAACCCACCAGCCACTCCTTGGAAGGAAGATGGGGCAATCTACTTCTGTAGTGATACTGCCTGGGAAACTCAAGGAGGGGTCGTTATGAGTTGGGTCCGACTCGACAGCACATAACAACAACAACAACAACAGTGGAAAAATCTGCCAAGTTGACAAGGTATGGAATTGTGGTGAAGGCCAGGGCTGAGGGGCCTTCACCCTGGCACCTTGAACTCAGATTTCCGGCCTCCTAACCTGTCAGAGAATAAATCCCTGTTTGTTGAAGCCATCCACTTGTGGTAGTTTCTGTTAGAGCAGCACCAGAGAACCAAAACAATTCGCTTGACCAGGATCCGTGTCATAACCACTTAGTGCAATGCACAGAGATCTGTATCACCCAGAAGAGGAAGATGAATAAGAAATAATCCTTGCCTTTAAGGATTCTAAAACCATATAGAATGGTCTACATTATACAGTAGCATATGATGCAGTGACGTGGCAATATTCTATCAGGCTTAAGAAGAAGGCTAGGCGACTTGGAAGACTTCTGAAAGAAGACAGAAAGTGGGAAGTGCCTGGAAAGACAGAGAGAATCTCGACAGGTGGAGAGGTGTACATGGAGGGTGATTCCAAGTCAAGGGGTCAAGACGTGGGAGAGCTGCCTCTAAGGACGCTGACTTGCTCCTTGCATGGTGAGTCAGGTTTCGTGGGGAAGAAACAGGCAGAGAGCCCTGTGAGGAACAAAGTAGTAGAGCCAAGGCAGAGAGAGGGAAGAGTTTGCTTTGGATAGAAATCGTGCAATCAGATTCCACAATGCTGGTTTCACATGGGCAAAGGAAGGGCATATGGAGCTGGCTGGCAATTGGCAAGCTGGCCTCCTAAGAGTGGGCTGCATGGAAAGGGGACAGCTTCAACTGTGACCCTTTCACGTGCACTGATTCTCCTTGTCTGGGGTCCTCAGACATTGGGTTCTACTGGAATTGCTATGGAAAGATCACTGCAAAGTGGAGGGAAACAACGTAGTACGGAAGGGTAGAAGGGATAAGTCAGGTATCATTCACCTTGGGGACTCTTGGCAGGCCTCAGCAGGGCTAAGAATCTGTCAACCCAGGGGAACTTTCTTCAGCTGCAGAGCCAGGACTATCACCCTGGCTCCAGCCTAAAGTTCAAGGTTCTACTTGCTCTCCCATGTAAATTACCTGCTCACACCCTCCTGCCCTTGTTGAACGCCACCCGTGCGGAGGGAGCCCCTCTCTGTGACTCCTCAGCTTCTTCAACCCCCGCAGGCCCCAGCCACCTTGATCCACTAGCAAAGACCACATCACACCACCTCTCTCTGGCCTATGAACACCATCACATACCCCTGTTTAGGTTACTGGGAAACTTAAGACAATTCAACTGAGAAGCAGTGGGATTTGGGATACAAGAGCTGAATTCCAGTCTTGGCATCTGTGGTCTTGCTTTCTTTCCCTAAAACGGAGAGTGTAGGCTCTCTGAAACAATAATGTAAAACCTTAGAAATATTGAGTACCTTTTATCCCATCAACTACACCTCTCAGAATTTATCCCAAGGGAGCGGGGAGAGGAAAAGTCAAAAGAGGCCAAATCACAAAAGCCAAACGCACTGCCATCAAGTCGATTCTGACTCATAGTGACCCCCATTTGGTTTCTGAGACTATAAACCTTCATGAAAGTAGATTGCCCCATGCTGGTGGGTACAAGAATATTCACCAGAGGCTGTGCTATTAGAAAAATCAATCAATATCCAAGACAAAGCCTTACTCAATATACTTTATTACCTACATACACTGGACTTCTATGCATGTATCAAAGGGGCTATAGAATTATATTTGTTGACATGGAGAGATACCATGTTATAATGCTCAGTGAAAAATACAGGTTGTAAGAGACATCTTATATGGGACCTATCATAGCAACCAAATCAAAACCAAACTCAGTGCTGTCAAGTTGATTTGACTCATAGTGACCCCTCCTTGGGTTTTGCAGGCGGTATCTCTACAGAAGTAGATTGCCCAATCTTCCTTCCAAGGAGTGGCTGGAGGGTTTGAACTGGCAGCCTGCTGGTTAGTAGTCAAATGCCTTAGGCACTATGCCATCATAGCAACAGGGGCATGGAAAACAACCCCTGACTGGTCAAGCTTCAAAATTAAACTTGAGATGTTATTTCCAAATGGATCACAGGCGTAAGTCTTTGTGGTAAGTGGGAGCATTACCTATGCATCGATATACAACAAAATATATCGTAAGTGTTATAATCCTTTTTGGTATTTTCTCATCTTCAAAACAAAACAGAACATTGCAGGATTCGAAACCGTGGAAGAGGACCAGGTCTTGATCAACTTGACAGTACCTACTCCTTCAGCGAGCTCTGGTAGCATAGTGCCTAAGGCACTTGACTGCTTACCAGAAGGCTGCCAGTTCAAACCCACCAGCCACTCCTCGGAAGGAAGGTTGGGCAATCTACTTCCATAGTGATACTGCCTCAGAAACCCAAGGAGTGGTCGCTATGAGTCGGGCCCTACTCAATGGCACATAACAACAACAATACTCCTTCAGGGTATAGGGGAGTAAGATGCTCTGGTGGTGTGCTGGATAAGGCATATGGCTGCCAACCAGAAGGTCAGTGGTCCAAACCCACCAGCTGCTCCGCAGAAGGAAGATGGGGCAATCTACTTCCGTAAAGATTTACAGCCTCAGAAACCCAATGGGGGTCATTTAGAGTCGGAATCCACTTCATGGCAGTAAGTTTTGTTTTGTTTTTTAAAATCTCTTTTTGTAGGGCAGTAGTGGTTCAGTGGTAGAATTCCCGCTGACCATGTGGGAGACCCACCAGCCACTCCTCGGAAGGAAGGTTGGGCAATCTACTTCCGTAGTGATACTGCCTCGGAAACCCAAGGAGGGGTCGCTAGGAGTCGGGTCTGACTCCACGGCACATAACAACAACAACAACAACAACATGTGGGAGACCAGGCACCATATCTGGCCAACGCACTCGTCCGCAGCCACCACCCACCTGTCAGTGGAGGCCTGGGTGTCGCAGGTTTCGGTGGAGCTTACAGACTAAGATGGCCTAGGAAGGCCTGGTGGTCTAGTTCTGAAAATGAGCCAGTGAGAACCTATGGGTCACAATAGCCCAACCCCACTGTGTGTGGGGAGGCATGAACTGGGGCCGACTAGATACCGGCTAACAACGGCAACCACATCATCTCTTTTGGGCTATGTATGCTTCCTGCTTTACTCTATAGAAAACATGGATTACTGACATGAGAAGAAAACCGTAACAAAGGAAGTAGATTAGCAGTCCAACCTTCCACCTATAGTCTCTTTAACTTCTTCACCAATAGTAACCCAAGGAGCCAAGCCTGAGTCCTGGTAGAGCCAACAGTTAAGCAGTTGTCTGCTAACCGAAAGGTTGGCAGTTCAAACCCACCCAAAGGCTCCATGGGAGCAAGACCTGGTGATCTGCTCCCACAAAGTACAGCCTAGAAAGCTCTACGGGACAGTTCTACACTGCCACATGTGGTTGCGAGTCGAAATAGACTCAATGGCACTTACCAACAACACAACAACAACAGACAGGTGGAGAGCATCAAGTCTTTTCTCCCAAGGAGTTGCTGGTGGGTTCAAACTGCCAACATTATGGTTAGTAGGCTCTCTGTTGGCATAGTGCCTAAGGCATTTGATTGTTAACCAGAATATTAGAGGTTCAAATCCACCAGCTACTCTGCGGAAGGAAGATGGGGCAAACTACTTCCATAAAAATTTACCACCTTGGTGAGTAGCTACTGGGGTCTTAAAAGCTTTCAAGTGGCCATCTAAGATGCAGCCAACGGTCTCCTAGCATGGGAAGTGAAGAAGAACGCAAAAACAAACAAATAAACAAACAAAAAAAAAGGGCATTAGAAGCAATCAGCCCTAGGACATGATGGATCTCGAGATCAGAAGAACTAGATGGTGCCCAGCTACCAATGCCAACCACTCAGGAAAGGATCAAATCTGGAGATCCTGGATAGAGTGGGAGGGAAAACATGGAACAAAATCCAAAAACTCAATAATGACCAGAATTACTGCTTGGATGGAGTCTAGTGAGACTGCCAATACTATGGCCCTGGAATACATTCTGTGCCTGGAATAAAACTCACCCCCAGGGGCGGG